TCTCTCTCTCTCTCTCTCTCTCTTCTCTCTCTCTCTCTCTCTCTCACAACTAAGGTATACAGCCCAGGGTTCGTCCTCCCCAGGTGGGATCGAGTCGCTTCGTATCAGTAACTGCATAAATTATTGCTGTGACAGACGACTCCCCCCCCCCACCTCCCCAGGTAGTGTCTGGCAACAGTGAAGCAGTGAAGATGTGCTCTGAGCTGGGTAAAGCTGCCTGATTGAACGTTGATTAGACAGATTATGGAAATAGATCCGTTTATGTATCGTAAGCAATATTGATTTTTTTTTCTTTTCGTCACGGGGATAATGGCTGGCGTGAAATGAGGAATAAAGGGAATAGTCAAATTTAATGGTGATGAAGGCAGTGCATAATATAGCATTTATTTTTGCGATGGAGAAGAAGGAAGATAAGGACAAAGAAAAATGTAGAAATCAAAAGAGAAAGAACAAGGAAAAAATAAAAATGAGAACCGGGCTGTAATTACAAAAAATAATGAGTAGCATCATTACCAATAAGGTGTGCAAAGAGGTCATAATGATAGGGACGGAGGCCACATTATAAGAAAAAGAAAAATAACGATTCTAATTACGATATGAAAGATAATGATACTAGCGGTAATCACGAGGAAATTAATGATGATAAGGATGACGATAATGAATGCCTGATCACATCCGAGCCAAGGTTACCCAAATGTCGTTAATTTAGTGATGGCTCATCTAGGCCTAAATTCACACCTAATAAATTCTCCAAATGCCGTTTACTCCCCATTTCAGCTTGACCTCGGAAGGCCTGGCGCCTCCCGAGAGATAAGGCGACTGGCTGGAAGGGAAGACGTTGCTTGGGAAGCGCTTGGCGGGCTGAGGCGCGAGAATGAAGCTGTGGATAATCTTTCTCGTGTGCGTTAAAGACTGTGTGTAAATGTGTGTGTGCGTGTTATATATATATATATATATATATATATATATATATATATATATATATAATATATAATATATATATATATATATAATATAATAGATAATTATATATATATATATATATATATATATATATATATATATATATATATATACTATATATATATTATATATATATATATATATATATATATATATATAATATATATAATATATATAATATATATATATATATATATACTATATCTGTGTGTGTGTGTGTGTGTGTGTGTGTGGTGTGTGTGTGTGTGTGTGTGTGTGTGTGTGTGTGTGTGTGTGTGTGTGTGTGTGTATGAGTGTGTGTGTGTTTATTTATATATATCACTGAACTAGCGTGCCCCAAGGCCCACCCCGAAGAAGGAGAGGAGGGTCGCAAGCCCGCGATCCGAGCGGCGAAGTCTGCCTTTAAAGAACTATTCCGGATTTCGTCCAGCGCTAAAACACGAGATTGGCTTCGGCGGTTCGGGGGAGCTCTGAAAAGTGGATTCCCATTGCGCTAGGAACTGGGAAGTTTGCATTCGGACACACTTTTTAAATGTCAACGAGTGAGAGAGAGAAAGGGAGAGACAGTGATAGACAGAGCATGGTAAGCAGACAGTCTTACTGACTGTCTTTCTGTCTTTCTATTTGACCCTCATTTTACCTGCATTCTGCCTGTCAGTTTGACTGTTTGTTCTATTTAGATTACAAAATGCGATAATGTGTGTGTGTGTGGATACATAGATGGATCCGAGGGGCATTTCACTTCGAAAATCCTGAACAGCCTGCCCGGAAATCCGAAAGAAAAATCCGGAAATCATTAAATTCTTAGTAAATCCAAAAATCTTTATGAAATTCCAAAAATCCTAAAATCTTGCAAATGTTCCATCCGCAGCAATCTTTTACAAAATCCTAGTAATAGTACTTAGAATATCTATAAAAAAAAAAAAAAAAAAAAAAAAGGCCGCCTCGTGCAAATGCGTGGCACATTTTCTTTCTTTTTTTTTATAAAACTTATTGTCTTAAAATAATGTCATTTGAAGTAATGTTAACGTCTCTTTTAACTTTCAAACCTTTTTAAAAACCAGACAAGTGGATTTATCAAAAATCGCTGTTGGGTACAGAGAGGTCTTTTAGTACCTATCATTACTATGGATTTTTTTTTTCTTTTTTGAGGGGGGTAGGTTTTTATCCAAATAACGCAAAAATGCCAGAGAAACGATTGCGCAAACGTCAGACATTAAGGCTTGGGCGCGGTCTTGGCAAAGCATTATATCAATAAAATAGCAACACAGGATGTAACGAATGTAGCTGTAAGGTCAAGTGAGTTTACTTTAATCCTTTAATGTAAATATTCCCGCAAAGAAACGAGATTGCGCCTCTTAAAATGCTCAAATTCCCAAGTAATTGTGGCTATTTCTGGGAGTGAGTTGGTTTGAACGAGACTCAAATAGATAATCCCGAGGTTAATCCCTCAGATTATGACGATAACGAAAAATCGAGGATTTTTGTCTCAAGGATTACAGTAATCTTAAGCAGAGTCACGTTTTATGGCAAAGTAGTTTATTTCATGTGGAATGTATAATGTAACTGGTAATAGCTTAGTGTTTGAAACATTTACGACGATTTAATACTTTTCAAACGCCTCTGAAAGTTTTGGAAATCTCTGAAATCCGGAAATCCCGGTAATTTCGGGGGGGGGGGGGTCGAAAATCCCGGAAATCTCGTTCGATATTTTGGGTAGGGAAATGCCCCTCGGATGGATCGATGGATAGAGAGAAACAGAAAGATGGATACTTGATAGACAGATGGAGAAATAAGAATATAGATAAATACATCTATGCATAAATATAGAGATATATTGTATATACGAGTATTAGTATTTCACAGTTGCATTAACAACGCAGGAATTAAACCAAAAGCAGTTTCGTCCAACCGGCGATTAAAGGAACATTATCTGCATATGCCAAGAGGATTACTAAGCAATTTAACTCGTCGGAAGATAATAGATGCCCGTAATAATTGATAGCTTCACAAGTTCATAATCCTTAGAAAGCGTATTGGATTCCAGACTAATTATCTTATCTACTGATGCGTGGGTTTCGATCCCAAGTAACGGATGAAGCAATACATCCCAGCCTCGAAACAGATTCACTGGAGTTTCGAAACTTATCTTCGCGAAACAAGCCAAAGAGTTGAATATCTTTTGGCACATGTATGTTAAAGTACACGCTTCTATAACCGCATTTGTTGTGAAAGTCTTGATATAGAAATAAAACTATTCCTGGTCACATTAATTCGAATGCCTGCCCTATGGACCGAACGCGAAAAATCCTTTCCCGCGTAAAAAAGCAGAGATAATTCGGCGCCGTAAGAGGATGACAGCGGGGTAGCCAGATCCTTCCGGCTAAAAGTTAGAGCCATCTCCAAAAGCAGCTAAAAGCGCTAAATGAGTTATTTTCTAACTTTCTTAAAGAGTAAACAAAAGTCGTTAAATTAGGTAAGAGGTGAGCCGAAAAAGTAGCTACTCAAAGACAAACTTTGATTATACAAAATAAAGAGAAAATAAAAACGTTCATTACAGGTAGCTGAATTTAGCGACAGTCGCTAAACTAGCAAATCCGGACGACAAGGAGAACGGGTAAGATGGCCACAGTTGCTGATAGAGAAAGGAAGTAGAAGAGGGGATGGTAAGGTAAAAATAACCTTATAAAAAGATATGTGAAGACAAGAGACCGTTAGGAAATCATTAATAAATGAATATTTAGCTTGTGGTAAAAATGAAAATAATTGCGTTCATAACGACAGTAATATCTGTGATTGCAATAATGTTAATAATATCAATGACAGTAATGATGAAAAATATGAATAATTATCATGATTAAAATAAAACTAATAATGTTAAAAAGGACAATAAGTATCATAATTGCAATATTTTTTTCCAATAATGGTGATGGTAATGATAATAGCGATGAAATAATGATAATGATAACAACTATGATAAAAGGAAATAACGATAATATTAAGGATAACAATGATACAAAAGGCTATCAGAATAGTAAAATTATTAGTAACGTAACAATGGTAATAATTATCAAAACATTAATGCAGATGATAATAATACCATTATTATGATTACCATTATTATCATCATCATTACCATTTTTGTTTTCATTGCTGCTGATTTTATTTTTATTGACATGATAATACGGATGATAATAAGAGGAATAAAAAATGTTATAATGAAAATTAGATTGATGACCTCAATACGAACGAGAATGAATATGATGGCAGTAATTCTTACGACCTTAAGCTTTCTGACACTTTTTTACCGATTTTTTAAACATCTTTACTGTTATTACCAAGATTTTGTTCAAAATAAATAAATAAATAAAGATACATAAATAAATGAAATAAAAATAAGAAAAAAAATAGAATGGAGCATTTGCGAGATTTTAGAATTCTTGAATTTCTTGTGAAATTCAAATTTCTTGTGAAATCCAAGCGTCAAACAACGTCATTCGGAGGGGATGAAGTGTAGTTGGGGAACTGGGGAAAAATAAGGTAAGGGAGGGATAAAGGAAGCAAAATCGGTAGAGAGAATTATAGCTAATATATATATATATATATATATATAATATATATATATATATATATATATATATATATATATATATATGAAGGGAATGTACAACGCACAATCCCGTAACCGCCTTGGAAATTATAGAAATCCCTCGAAATCCGGAAATCCCAGACAAATCTATCTGGAAATCTGGAAATCACGGTAAAAAAAAAAAAAAAAAAAAAATCGGAAATCCTGCAAATCTCGTACGCTATTTTGGGTAGCGAAATACCCCTCACAAACACACACGCATAAGAGAGAGAGAGAGGGGGGGAGGGAAGGGCGAGAGGTAGAGAGGTAGAGAGGTAGAGAGGTAGGGATAGAGAGATAGAGAGATAGATAGATATAGATGATAGAGAGAGAGAGAGAGAGAGAGAGAGAGAGAGAGAGAGAGAGAGAGGGAGAGAGAGAGAGAGAGAGGGGAGAGAGAGGAGAGAGAGAGAGAGAGAGAGAGAGAGAGAGAGAGAGAGAGAGAGAGAGAGAGAGGGAGGAGAGGGAGGGGAGGGACGGAGGGACGGAGGGAGAGGGAGAGAGGGAGCTAGAGAGAGAGAGAAAGAGAGAGAGAGAAAGCGAATCCCCGGCAGCACAAGACAGCCCAACCTTTCTACGGCATTTTTCATTCGGTTCAAATTATTGGCCAACCTTTCCATCACTCGTCTGACTAAGACATCGCCTGAAATATCTATTATTAATACGATGGCAATATCCTACCAATAAGCTCGTGTTCCCTGTCATGATTAAGTAAAAAAAATAATGAAACAAAATCTTCTGAGACGTCACAGACCCCAGAGCCCGCTTGGCAATAATGTCTTCAAACGTCTTCCGTCGCGCAATGATTGATATCAATAATAATCACAACTATGATAATGATGATCGAAAAGGTGCCACTTAGGATGAAATTGACATCACGATGCTAATGATAATAACGAAGATGAAAAGAGTGTTAAAAGTAAAATATAGGGCATTTTTTTGTGAAATGTGCACTTCCCGATTCATAATGAAGAACATGATATTAATATTAATGGTAATGATAATAAAACAATGAAAAAATATGATAAAAATTAATACTATTACATTGATGATGACTGTATCAGTGGCAATTGCAACAATTCTTAAAATAATAATAATGGCAATGCCAGTGATGACGATGGTAATAATATTGATTCTAATGATAAAACAACCATATTAGTGAAAGGCATAACAGTGGTTATAATTACAATAATCTCAACAAAAATATAATAATGACAATAATTAAAAAAAAATAATAATAATAATGATACTAAGGTGATGGAAATAGTGTAATAATGTAAATAGAATTTACAGCGATATATATAATTTTAGCAATAAA